GCCAGACTCATCCACCTTACCAACCGCTCCGATTCCGCCACCCCCCTCTGCCAATCCCTCCACTGGCTTCCGATTGCCCAACGGATCAAATTCAAAATCCTAACACTGACGTACAAAGCTGTCCATCATACTGCCCCAAACCAGATCACCGACCTAATATCCAAGTACCACCCCCAACACGCACTCTCCGCTCCTCACAAGACCTCCTTCTCTCTAGTTCCCTGGTCTTCTTCTTCCATGCCCGCCTCCAGGACTTCTCCAGGGCGTCACCCATCCTCTGGAACTCCCTACCCCAATCCATCAGACTATCACCTACTCTCTTCTCCTTTAGGCGCACCCTGAAAACCCACCTGTCACGATCTCGGCGTCAGACCCCAGACCTTCTCACCAAACTCGTGACCGAAGGACTAGCCGATCTAAAACCGTGATGTCACGTGCGTAACAATGCCACACCCAGCTGCACCCTGCACAACGATTTTCCAGCTAATTGGACCACAATCGATGTACCGGCAGCCTGAGCGATTTGTTACTGGGTCAGGTTAATTACGCAATTAACCCTTCACACTGCAACCACCTCCTTTTTGTACAGAGAAAGAAGAAACTCTGCAATATCAGCTATAACACTATAATGGTTGAGATAATCGTCTGTATAAAAACGGTCACCGCAGGCCGGTTATACAGAGGGTTAAACACACACAGTAGCATCTCTTTAGAGGTAGGAATTCGTAAATTGCAATATAGAGCTATAGAAACAGTTCAACACTTTCAGAAGGAAAGATTTATTACTAAAAGGTCAAACAGGTGCAATAAAAATATTTACAGAAAAAGATGTAACTAAGATATATATATAAATATACAGAGACTAACAGCACCGCAAAGAGATATCAGAGAGAGGTGAAAGGGTTAAGGTACTTGCCAAAGTCCTGGGTTAGCAGATCCAAGTTTCAGAGCAAAAGGGCACGGGTCTCCCCAGGTGGTATTGATATTAAAATGGGAGACATCTTCAACTTACACTCTTAGGCCTGACAGCCTATTTTGTAGTCCCCAGCAGGGGGTGTCACTGAAGTCAAGGACCAATACCCCGTTTAGGGCGTGTAGGTATGGGCGGATACCTCAACTAGAGCCAAAATCTCCCGTAACTCATATTTTGGCCCATAACTTTTCCTATGCACAAGTGACATTCCACCTGCGGGTAGATTATTAGGCAGACATGTCTGAGGATTGATTAGATATATATTATGAAATTATACACTAAACGGTTCACGAGATCTATTTTTCGGCTTTCCTATGTATACGAGACAATGCGAGTGACCTACCAAACTGTTTGCCTTCTCGTGGCCAGTCTGACGATATGTCTGGTTTTTATGTAAGTCTCTCATATTCCAAGATATGAGACATAGGGAAAAAATGGATTTTGAAAAGTGGTTATCTGATTCTGTCACATACACTGAGTTAGGTTTATTAGGTTGCAAACTCTTTCAACTCCTGGGAAAGCTTGCCTTATCTCTTCCGAGGTGTTACAATTTGCAGGTTCTTTGGACAGGGAGGCCCCAGCTCCCTTGGGGGGCTTTATAGCTCCTATGACCCTCCTGTGACATTCCCAACTCACACACCTACTGGCCAAATGTCGCTGGGCCTCTCTAAGGAGGGAGGGGGGAAGAATAAGGGAGAAATATATTTGTCAGGATGGTTAATCTCTTTGCCAAGATGGAGGATGAAGCCAAAATGGTTGAACCGCATCCATCTCTGGGTATACGCTGTTACACCACCTCTTCAGGGAAGCCTACCCCCACCCCCTGCTAATTACCGACCTCCTCCACTCTTCCTACCGCTCCATCCCCCACAGCTATTTCCTCCTGTACCACTATCCCCTCCCTCCTAGATTGTAAGCTCCAAGGAGCAGGGCCCTCGAAACCATCGTGTATCGCATTGTATTGTTATTGTACTGTCGCATGTACTGTCTCCCATTGTAATGTACAGCGCTAAGCGAACTGTTGGCGCTTTATAAATACTGTATAATAATAATAATATTGAAAGCAATAAAGAGCTAAAAACTGCATCTAGACAGGATAGCAAAATAAATGATATCATTGACTTTAAACTGGAATTCCAGGATAATCCTAACTACTCTTAAAATTGTCCTCTCCCCCCTCTTAACACCCATGTTTACTAACCTGTGTTCCCCTTTAATATAGCGATATTAAAGTAGAACTCCTGCCTAACACTAGTCTAAACAATGTCCCCTCCTCCCTTCTGCTGCCAATGCTGACTAACCCATGTAAATAAATGTGCATACCTACATATTTTCAGCCTGTTTTTCCAGTCCAGTCATGTGATCTGATTCCCCTGTGTCAGCCAGCAGCTGCTGCATGTCAGGGTCCTACCTTTTCCCAGAGGTTATGTTACTCCATGTGCTGGCATCCATCTTGGATTTCTGCTGAGCATGGTGGGAATCTTTTATGCCTTCAGGTCTCTGAGGTCCATCCCCCAGAGGGGTGTGGCTGAGTACATATAAGCCTGTGATCCGCACATGCTCTTTGCACTTGTGTCTTGTGTCTTTGTCTTGCTACAGCTCTGTGTATACGCTCGTGACTCTTCTGGTATCTGACTCGGCGTGTGACTAAGACCATTCTCTGTGTTTTCCTTCGATCTGACCTTCCGTTGCTGAACCCGGCCCATGACCTGTGATTCTCTGTCTACTGTTCTGTACCGTTTTGTCCCGTTGTTGTCGACCCGGCTTGCCTGACTACGCTATTGTCATTCTCACCAGCTACACACCATTGGCGGCGGCCATTACCACAGCCAGGGTGTCTCGGGGGCCGCGACCTGGTTCCTGGCTGCGTCAAGTCCATCCCCACCATCAGGGGCCCTGGTGAAGGGCAGCCTGGGACTTAGACTCCGCGCCCTGAGGGACTTCGGTCCCTGTTGGTGGTGGTTGTCGTCAGCCAGTGCGTTACCCTGCCACTAGGCCTACCTGTCCGTTTCCACAGCCCTGCCCTGACATTACACAAGTGCCATGAACCCTGACGGTGCAGGTACGCCTTCGCTTCCAATGTTGGTCGCCAGACTGGATCAACAGGATCTCCTCTTGGATCAGTTCGCTCAGGCGTTGCAAAACTCTGCTTACACGCACCGCGCACCTTACTCCTGGTGTTATTAGGCCGGTTGTCACTGGCAGTCCGGTGGTCGCTCCCACTGCTGTTCCGCTTGTTGCGCCTACCAGCAGGCATATTCAGATAAACAACACTAAGGATCCATTTACATTTGCCAAGATTCTGTCTACGATTCCAAATTGCGGTAAAACATGCAAAGCGTGTTTGGGTGCCAGAATTCTTAATGGCACCCCAAACACAGTGCGCTTTTGCTGCGATTGTCAAGTAACAGAATCATGCAGAAATTGCAGCAAAATATGCCTTTAAACTGGTTCTCACCCAGCTATCATTGTACGGCTGCTCTTGTTCTGGGAGGACATCATATTATGTCCTTTCATTCTTGCTGTGCACACGCACTCCCGGAGTCCTGCAGCGTGGCGTTCGGTGGTGGGCTGTGTCCCTCGGACAACGATCAGGGTAAACATCCAATGACGTTGGCTCTTTACCATGTGATCAGCTGATCAGGGGACACTTACACTGATAATCAGGGCACAGATCATCAGTGCCTTGAGGATCAGTGCAGCATATCAGTGTCCATCAGTGCAGCCTCATCAGTGCAGCATATCAGTGTACATCAGTGCTGCCTATCAGTGCAGCCTCATCACTGCCCATCAGTGCAGCCTATCAGTACCCATCACTGCAGCCTATCAGTGCCCATCAGCGCAGCTTCCACTGCCCATCAGTGTGCAGCCTATCAGTGCCCATCAGTGCAGCCTCATCACTCACTGCCCATCAGTCAGTGCAGTGCCCTTCACTGCTCAGTGCCCATAGTGCAGCTTCCCTGCCCCTGCAGCCTGCAGTGCCTATCAGTGCAGTCTCATCACTGCCCATCAGTGCAGCCCCATCACTGCCCATTAGTGCAGTCTCCTCGCTGCAGCCTATCAGTCTCATCACTGCCCATCAGTGCATCCTCACTGCACATTAGTGCCTCATCAGTGCAGCCTATCAGTGCCCATCAGTGCAGCCTCCTCACTGCCCATCAGTGCAGCCTATCAGTGCCCATCAGTGAAGAAGAAAAATTACTTCTTTGCAAAATTTTATAACAGAAACTAAGAAAAAGGGTTTTTCCCAAAATTTTTAGTCATTTTTTGTTTAGCAAAAGATAAAAAAAAAACAGAGGTGATTAAATACCACCAAAAGAAAGCTCTGTCTCCAAAAAATTCATATGGGTACAGTGTTGCATGACCGCGCAATTGTAATTCAAAGTGCGACAGCGCTGAAAGCTGAAAATTGTCCTGTGCAGGATAGAAGTAAAACTGCCTAGTATTGAAGTAGTTAAAAATCATGCCAAGCTCATTCCCCCCCCAATCCAAAAAAAAGGTGCAGGAACTTCTTTTGGGTGAAAAACACACGTAGGGCGCTACATTGAAATGAATGGTCTTCCCTATGGGCAACATTGCGATTAAAAAATCCTGAATGGGAACGCTAGTTCCTACTACAGGAGATATGAACAGGGTCCAAGTGCAATGATCTTATACAGAGAAGCATGACCCCAAACAAGCAGATTTTACTGATGCCGATCCATCGTAGAGGATCGAATTGCTCCTCACCAGCTACAAGCTGTGCTTTGTATGAAATGAGCCAGCAAACGATTACATGTCTGTCTGTATATAGCTGGACCTCTTCTGATTACAGAACACTGACTTGGGAAACAATGATCGATTATCGGTGATATTATTAGGAAAAGGTCATATGATCGGCACGAGCGTATAGTCCTCTAGCCCCGCCCTTGTAGTATAAGCACACCCCTTATGTTAGCTAATACTGACGTACAATAAAGTTTTGTCAAAAAACGAAAAAAAGGCAGCTCCGGCCAGTCGGCGTGACGTGGCCGAGTGAGGGGCAGACATGGAGGTGGTGGCGCTGGTGGCTGTGTCTGTGTCTGTGCTCCTCGGGGGGATCATCCTCCTGCTGGCAGTGTGGAGGCAAAAGGGGAGAGGGCTCAGCGAGCCGGGGCCGAGTGGTGAGTGACAGAGGTGTGCGCTGAATGAATAAAGTGCGGGGACTCTGCATACGGTGCGGTCACTTCTAGTGTACAGTGCGGAGAGCCATACACTGCCTGCTGCAGGCTCAGCTATGTAGGCGGGGAGAGCCATAGGAAGGGGAAAGTGCTTTGTAAAAAAAAATGCCATTCATTTATCATACACTTTCCTGAACCAACTACATGTCATTAATGGAGAACTGGAGGCAAAACTTTTCCATTTGGATATAACCCTCCCTCATTGGGGAGATTTTCCTTCACTTCTTCCCGCACCCCCCCGCATCAGGCGTCCCCACCGGAGTGCCCTCCCCCAGCACCAGGGTCCCCTGCCGGAGTGCCCTCCCCCCCGCATCAGGCGTCCCCGCCGGAGTGCCCTCCCCCCGCATCAGGCGTCCCCGCCGGAGTGCCCTCCCCCAGCATCATCAGGCGTCCCCCCCCGCCGGAGTGCCCTCCCCCCCCCAGCGTCGGAGTGGCATCAGGCCCCGCCGGAGTCCCCCCCGGAGTGCCCTCCCCCCAGCATCAGGCGTCCCCCGCCGGAGTGCCCTCCCCCCAGCATCAGGCGTCCCCCGCCGGAGTGCCCTCCCCCCCCAGCATCAGGCGTCCCCCGCCGGAGTGCCCTCCCCCCAGCATCAGGCCCTCCCCCCCGTCAGGCCCCCGCCGGAGTGCCCTCCCCCCAGCATCAGGCGTCCCCCGCCGGAGTGCCCTCCCCCCAGCATCAGGCGTCCCCCGCCGGAGTGCCCTCCCCCCAGCATCAGGCGTCCCCCGCCGGAGTGCCCTCCCCCCAGCATCAGGCGTCCCCCGCCGGAGTGCCCTCCCCCCAGCATCAGGCGTCCCCGCCGGAGTGCCCTCCCCCCAGCATCAGGCGTCCCCGCCGGAGTGCCCTCCCCCCAGCATCAGGCGTCCCCGCCGGAGTGCCCTCCCCCCAGCATCAGGCGTCCCCGCCGGAGTGCCCCCCCCCAAAGTTGCATCAATGTAAATACTTTCCTATTGGCATAAAACGCACCTAAAATGCAACACTTGTGTTTTTGGTGCAGGTCCATTGAAGTCTATTACACACAAAATGCAATCTGCTGTGGGAAAAAGTCCCTGACTCTTTCCAAAAACAATGCGCTGGCTAAAAACGCACAGGTGTGAACTAGATCCATAGGAAATCATGTTAAATGGACTGTACTGCGTTTCTGCAAACTGGAAAATGTACTTAAGTCTGCATAAGTGTGAACCTAGGATAAAATGTGGAAGCTGATTGGTTTCTGTGCAGAGCTGCACCATATTTTACACCATGCATTTTTAGTAAATAACCTCAATGTATCAGCATGGTAGGGCCAGCTGGCGAGCTCCCTGTCAGCACAAGGACAGTTCTGTGTAATGTGCTGGCCCTATATAAATACAAAGGGAAAAAACGGATTCCTCCTTTCTCTTTACTATACAAATGTGTTTTTTTTTGTGCAGCTGAAAACAGATTTTCAAGGCAGGAAAGCCCAAAAATAATTAGAAAACAAATTAATGCCATCAAAAGAAATCCTTTTTTGAGCATCCCACTATCCCTCCTCCCCTTTTGTCACTTCTTTAGCTGCAACTGATTGGGGGAAAAAGAAGTAAGCTGCCTGATGCACTGAAACTGCACATCACACTGCCCAGCAAAACTGACGCTAGTCTGCACGCTGAAACGTAGTGTGTTTAACCACTTCCAGTCCGGACACTTTCACCCCCTTCCTGTCCAGGCCAATTTTCAGCTTTCAGTGCTATCACACTTTGAATGACAATTGTGCGGTCATGCAACACTGTACCCATATGAATTTTTTACCATTTTTTTTTAGACAGATCAAGCTTTATTTTGGTGGTATCTATTCACAGCTGGGATTTTTATTTTTTTTGCTATGTAAATGAAAATGTCCAAAAATTTTGTAGAAAAAGTGTTTTTCTTAAAAAATGTTGCAAATAGTTTTTCATCATAAATCTTGGCCAAAATTTATTCCATTATCTTTTTAGTAAAAAAAAAAAATAACCCAAATTAGTTTTATAACCAAAAATTATAATTTTTAAACTTTTTTTTACACCTTTTTTTTTTTTTTTTATTTTTTTATATTTTTTTTTCGACATAGTGTCACCCTAGCAGTACAGTGTCACCATGGTGACACTGTACTACTTGCGGGGGCGGGTGATGATTTTTTTTTACACTGATTGCTTTTACACCCATAAAGGCTGTAAAAGCAATCATTTCTCCTACTCTCTAGCTGCATTCTTGCAGCCATTGAGAACTACTGAGTGAGCTGTGATTGGTCACAGCTTGTCACATTGTACAAGGCTGTTGTGAATATCCTTGTACCATGTGACCTCTGTGATCATTCACAGATTTCACACGTAGTAAGCAATGATGTCAGAAGTGACATCTTGCTTGCTACTCTGCATGTGATCACTGATTGGCCAATCAGTGGTCACATGATCGGGACCTCGCACAGAGGTCCCGTCCGACGATCAGTGTTCCGGAGGACACAGCGGGCACCAGATTGCGGTGCTACGCGCTCCCAGGGAGCGCGCAAAAGCAGGGTGCAGGGAGGCCGTTTATAAACGGCCACCCGACCCTGCACTGCAACCACCACGGGAGGTGGTTAAAGCATAAGTTCACTTTTAGTAATATGTTGCACCATATTCAGGGTGTAACATGTTACTAAAACACCTGCACACACTCCCCTGAGATTCCTTTGTGACAGCAGGCAGGGGATCCTCTCCTTGCACCCACTATCACAGTTTAACCCCGTTTACACTGATGCGGTGTGGGATTCGCAGTAATTCCTGTGCATTTCCCACACTGCATCACACTCGCACTCTGTTCACCTGAACTGCTGCGGGTATCAATGTTAAGTTAACAATACCCCAATAATGGTTTGCAAAATGCAGTGCAATTGGCTGAATTGGATCTGATTCGCATGCACCTTTTATATGCGGGTGCTGTGCAATTTTAGCCATACAAAATGAGTGAGCTCAAATCGCACTGCAAAGAATTGCATGCAATTTGAACAGAAATGTGGTGTGTTTCCTGACCTAATCACATGCAGCTCCTCGCACTGCTTCAGTGTGAACCTAGACTCAAAAGCAGTATGGGTGTGTAGGGCTGCGCCCACACAGCCCGTCATTCATTCACTGCAGACGGTCTGCAGTTCTCAATGGACTTCTCTCTCTTAGTTCATTGATCTTCCTGGACTTTAGTAACTGTCTGCCCATATGGGAGGTGCTGATCATGGGTGCAATGCTCTGTAGACTCCTAGGAAAAAAAATACACCTTTCTTTACCTACAAAAAATGTGCATTTATATTTTTTTTTCTAAAAAGTCAACTTATCCTTTAAGCATCTGACTAACATGATTGGGTCATTGGTAATTGGATACTGTATGTGCTACAAATGACAGCAGCTAAAGTTTTGGCTTCAAGTAAGGGGAAAAAGTAGATAATTCTGTCAAGAAACTTGTATCCACCTCCCCACTGTTTGTAGATCCATCATACAATAAACTAGATGTATTCTATATGACAGAGTTCCCTATAGAAGAGATGTTTGAGGTCTGCAGATACTTTAGTTTCTCACTTGTTAGGGAACATGCTATTATTCTTTAAGTGTGCTTTATTGTATTCTTTTACTTTTCAGATCACAAAGCCAATGGACAAGCTGTTCCAGAGAAGCAGGTATCTAAGAAGCAGAAACAGCAAAAACCACGTAAAGAAAAGTCTCAGCAGCACACCTTCACCCACCCTCTCCTTGCATCTGCACTTAAGGTATTCTTATTAATGTTTATTCTATATTTAAGGCTTACTTTACTTAAAAGTTCTCTTGTTTATGCAGAGCAGTACATTTAATAAAGGATAAGGCAATCTGTATTCATTATATCAATAGATTCCCCCATCTATGATTAACTGTGTGCATACAGCAATCTCCCACTGCCAGCTATTGTATTCTGAGTGACTGGCTGCGTTACTCTTCAGTCAACAATTTTCCACGTAGTGCCTTTGATATCCAAAGTTTGTTGAGCTAGGTCGTGGTGACAGGGCAACACAAGGATCAAATTATAACCAAATCAACAAGAATGAGTTAAAACTCGAGCCTGGTATGGCCAGCACAACTATCTTTTCAACCAAAGTGCATTTATCCTCTCCACCCCCCCCCCCCCCCCCTCATTCCCAATCGCCTGATTTATATTTACGCACATGCCATGGCCTACTGTAATATTTACATCCTTTAGGTACATTTCTTTTTTTTTTTTGCTTGTCTCCCTTCCACCTTACTCATCTGAATAGGACATTTTGCCCAGAGGATGTAAATAACTGGGGAGATGGTGTGTAGGGGTAGGGAGGGGGATTGTAATTAATGTGGAGTTCCACTCACCTGTCAAAATGTCAGTAGCTGCTGACTGTTAAAAAAACAGCCACTTACCTGTCCCTCGGTCCCGTGGTATGTCCCCCCGCAGCCCGTTTCACCGGCCGTCCTGGATTCCAGGAGGCTGGTATCTTCAGTGTGGGCACCCGGCTGTGATAGATTGCGGCTTCATAGCCGAGTAGCACTGCGCTTCCTGAATGGTCCTGTAGTCTTTGAAGACCTGTCACGTGTCCCAAAAGAATACAGGGAGGGAGGGAGGACACTGTCCGCTTCCGTTCGACTAGGCGATCGGACTGGAAATGGGAGCGGGTACCTGTCAAATTCAGGTACCCGCCCCCCCAAGGTGCCAATACTTAATGTGGAGAGGGGGAGCAGTCCTTAAAGCAGAACTTCCCCTTTTGGGTGGAGCTCCGCTTTAAGGACAGAAGCATGGTGGGTAGGTGTACTTTCCATTGGGTTATACTTACCCTTTAAGGATCATGCATAGACTTTAGAAAAACCTTTTGTCCAGTTCTTATGGTAGGATAGGACAACTACCTGGCTGCTCATGCTGCATCTATATCTGTAGGGAAATCTACCGACCAGTGGAGATGAGTGAATTGATCTGGATAGCACAATTTAACTCATTTGTAGGCAACATGCAATTAGTTTAAATCCATGCAAGATATGAACATAAATCTACTATCTGGCAAGAATCATCTTGGTATCAGTCTGATCTTTAGCAAATTGTAGATTAATTTATTCATTTCTGTTAGCCAGGTTGGAAATTTTCTGTCCATTGCCATTTATTCTTCTCCGTACAAAGGGAGAGGATATTTTAAGAGAGCTGTTCCCCATGAAGGGCTTGCTTACTGACATCAATACTTATCCACTGACCGCCTTAAGCTGGGGCTACGTGTGAATATTTAATGGCTTGTTAGCAAGATATTTAACCCCTTACTGACAGCTGTTTCCATTGAAGCCAATGTATTGTTGTTGGAAAGATATTTAGTCTTAATAAGTATTTAAAATCTTAACGGGTAGCGCTGCTTTAGAAAGTACATAAACAGCATGGAATTTCCTTTTCAAATTTGGATTTGTGCTCATCCAGTGTCTAGGTATTATTCTCGTATTCTACTGCCTAGTACATTTCACTGTCTGTAGTAAAGCATCAACGGCTAGAAAATTGGAAGTGCATTGTAACGTAGGTGTACTTGAATCTATTCTGGATCTATCAATAATTTATTTGATTATGTTTGGCTTTTATCCTGTAGGCTCACAGTGGGAATATAACCTGTTTAGATTTCAGCAGCAATGGTAAATATTTGGCTTCATGCTCTGATGACAGAACTGTCAGAATATGGAGCACCAAGGACTTCCTTGAGAAAGAGCACCGTTGCATGAGGGCCAATGTGGATTTAGACCATGCCACTCATGTCCGCTTCAGTCCTGACTGCCGGTAAGGTTATATTATAAAAATACACTTTTTTTTTTTTTTTATGCATCAACAATCAGCAAATACTAGCCGTGTTCAGGCAAAAAAAAAATTGCCTAAGTGCTAAAACAAAATGTTACCACAGGTGCTCACCATTTACGAAGACAAGAAAGGTGAAGTGATTGCGACCTGTGTAGAATATTATTAATTGAATAAAATTCCTTCTTTTTTTTTTCAGAACTTTCATAGTTTGGTTGGCTAATGGAGATACAATCAGAGTGTTTAAAATGACCAAGAAAGACGACTCCTTCATCTTTTCTGCAGCTCATGATGACTTCCCAAAAAGACACAAAGCTTCCATCATTAACATTGGAATAGCAGAAACAGGTATAAATACAGAAAATACATTTAATTGGAGTCATTCCAGCATTTATTGCAACCTCTGTTTAGCTGAAAAGTAATCAAGGTAATAATGTGAAAGGAGATTAGATCCCCTCCTACTGTCTAAGCAGTACATTGCATAATATTCTTATGCAATATTTCATATTTACCTATGAAAATTATTATTATTTTTATTATACATGATTTATATAGCGCCAACAGTTTGCTCAGCGCTTTACAATGAAAATAATAAAACATATTGTTTATACTGTTCAGGATACAAATGTATAGCAAATCACTATACATTCCCTTTAAATGGACATCTGGGAGCGATATATTATTTTTTTCTTTTTTTAATTGGATGCTTCTTAAAGCAGAATTCCACCCAAAAGGGGAAGTTCCACTTTAAGCCTTTGTTCCCTGCTCCCCATTATGGATTGGCACCTTTGGGGAGTGGGTACCTAAATTTGACAGGTACCCACTCCCACTGCCGCTGCAATTGCCTAGGCGATTGGAAGCGGAAGTTGTCCAACCCCTCCCCATTTTCTTCTAAAACACGAGACGGTCCCAGAAGACTACGGGACCATTCACAAAGCGCAGCTCTTGTTGCGCATGCACAGTGGGCACCTGGCTGTGAAGCCCCAAGCTGTCACAGCCGGGTGCCCCCACTGAAGACTCCAGCGCCAGGGAGAGAAGATGGCTGGTGAAACCAGTAGTGGTGAAGACACAGCTGGACCGAGGGACAGATAAGTGTCTGTATTTTAAAAGTCAGCAGCTACAGTTTTTGTAGCTGCTGACTTTTTTTTTTTTTTTTTTAGTGGAACTCTGCTTTAACTGTATAAAGGTAAAATTCAAAAATCATATGCATTTTGAAAAGACTAAGCCTAGGTTCACACTAGTGCTGTTGCATGATTATGCGATTTTCAGTGTGCTTTTGCAGCACATTTTTGCGCATTTTCATGGTTTTTTTTTGTTTTGTTTTTTAAGACAAGGAGATTGAATTTTAGACTCCAAACTGCCAAAACGCATTAAAATTGCATTTACATGAGTTTTACATACACTTACCATGTATTCCCATTGAAGTCTATGTAGCCAAAAACATACACTGGTGCACCAAAAGAAGCACCTGCACCTTTTTAAAAAAACACACTGCACTGCTTTGATGAGAACAGCCACCACAGAGAATAATGTGATTTCCTTAGTCATGCATATCATCACATCAGCAAGTAGAAGACACACTAGTGTGAACAGGGGCTAAAATAAAATACATGCATTGCCACATCCTGTCCATTCACATAACTAACCTGCTTGTAGAAATTAGGAAGTTCATTGTGGGAACACATTGTATTACTGTGCTTTGTATTGTTATGAAAACCCAACACGTTAATACACACTCAATACTCACTATTTCTATGTGCACTGAATGGGGGAAAGACATTCCAATCTGTACATAGCAGCTTTCCTGTGCATTGCAGATGAATGGAGTAGCTGATTTCTATTAGGGTGTTTGCACATGTAGATGTTTTTTTTGGGAAATAGTGGAGTAATTTTCTAAACCCAAGAATAAAATGTGTACTCACTGTACTGTATCTATGAAGGAGCAGCATGGTCACCTTTAGGACAAAACGTGTGGGTACCACAGATCACACCTCTTGCTTTCCCCATCTCCATAGCCTAGGCAGAAGGCATTCTGTAATCCACAAAAAGTTGGGAACAATGCCGAATGCAGCAGAGGCAAAATGTACAGGAAATTGTCAGCTCACTGATAAGTTCCTGTGTTTTAATAAATAAAAAGCTTTTTAGGGTTTACATATGCTTTAATTATTGCTAACAACAGCATAGGGATTTTGTATTAATGCTTCTGAATCAAAAAGAAAAAAAATTACTGAATGCAGATTGTTCTGAGCTGCCCAAAACTGAAATACACACTTAGCCCTGGTTCACACTTATGTGATATGTGATTTACAGCACCTGCGATATGTGATTTACAAATTGCACCTGAAGCCGCGCTACTTTTTTCGAATTATTTATATGGCATGAAGTCGCAAACCACAGTTAAATCATAGGTACAAATCGCAGTGAATTGCAGCTTTGAAATCATGGTACTTCCAGTGAGTAGCACAATTTCAAAGTTGCATTCAGGGCTTAACCACCTTCTGCCTGCCCTAAGTACAATAGGTGGTTCTCTCTATCAGTAGCATGACGTTCAAAACCAGTTCCTCACTTTTTCGATATTATTGCGACTTGAATTGACTTCTGTAAAATGAATGTCGCAAACCACAGTTAAATCATAGGTACAAATCGCAGTGTGAGTGCCCATTGCAAGCTAAATCAGTGCATTCCAGTGCAATCAATACCACATATCGGGGCCAATCTGAGCTGCATTTCAATGTCACCCATCAGTGCCAGTCAGGGCCGCCTAAAGGGCCGCCTATTGCCATTCAGGGCTTAACCACCTTCCGCCTGCCCTATCCGTAGTCAGGGCCGCCTATGACGGGCGTGCAAGGTGGTTCATGTCTCGTTCTGATAGGATCGTCATGTATCAGGGCCGCCTTTCAGTGCCCATCAGTCAGCCTACCAGTGTCCTCATTCTCATCAGTGAATGAGAAAAATCACTTATTTACAAAATTGTATAACAAAAACTAAGAAACTTTTTTTTTCTTCAAAATTTTCTGTGGTTTTTGGTCTGTTTAAGAAAAAATAAAAATCCCAGAGGTGATTAAATACCACCAAAAGAAAGCTCTGTCTAAAAAAAAAAATGATACATATGGGTACAGTGTTGTATGACCGCGCAATGTGTCATTCAAAGTGTGACGGAAACACAGCAGATCACTAGTGGTTAAAAAGAGCCGAAGATGCCCGGCACTTGAATTGGTCATGTTGATATTTGACAGGTGTCAGCTGTGTGTGTCTCAATCTGGAAAGACTACAAGTCCCACCATGACAGAGGGACTCCTAGATCTTGTTGACACAAGCAGTGACCTCACCACACTTGCACTATTGTTTATGTTTCCAGCCCCAAACAGGAGGTCAGTATCCATATAGGAGTAAACAATTCAAATGTTGGCATTGCTCCCATGACAAATTTGTTGGCTGCAATGCAGGATTGAATGCAAAAATGTAAATGCACATTTTATTTATTTTTTGTAATATGTGGGTGAAATTATTTATTTGACTTTTTTTTTTTTTTAATGCAAGATGTAGACTAGATATTTAAAATTTGGGATCTAAGAAGGAAGCGGCATTCCTCAAATCACAAGAAATAACATTTTGTCCACGCTGGCTTTTCTACAGGGAAGTTTATCATGACTGCATCCGATGACACCAGCATACTAATTTGGGATCTGAAGGGAGAGGTGTTGGCTTCCATCAATACCAACCAGGTGGCAAATGCATATGCTACAGTTTCACCTTGTGGGAGGTAGGATCACAGTTTTATTTCTCTCACACACACTTATATCTGCATGCACAGCAACTCCTAAAACTGGCTAATGTGATACTTATCACTACTGGTTAATATGGCTAACTGGGGTTGCAATTTGGCCATATTATGTTTTCTAAATAGAGAATCACCATTCATATTGGCTGTTCTTTCTCTCTACCGTATAACCTCTTAATCATAGTTTCTGGACCTCTTTTATTGGTAATCTTTCAGAAAGCTGGGGAAGGAGGGAGTTTATATAATGATAAACATTTTAAGAAGACAGCAAATGTTATCTGTTGTCAAATGATGTATTGGGTGATTTTCGTTTTTTTTTTTTTTTTTTTTCTTTAGATGTAGCATAGCCATACTAATAACTAATGTAGTATATTATAACAGAATAAAATTTTCTAAGATTCCTGCATAATGAGTGGAGACTCTGGGCTGATGAATACAAGGACAAAATACGCTGTTCAAAAAGTTTACTCAAAAGCAAGTTCATGGATATGTTACAATCCAAAAGTTCATAATTCAAATTGCAGAATAGTATGAGGCAGACCAATAAAAACAAGTCACTTTTGCAAAAATTATTAACTCTTAAAAAATAGTGAATATTTTAACATTTATTGTAGTAAAGTATATTAATAACATGTAAAGGAAATAGATGGTTAAAAGATAAACTTAAATAATGAATGCACATATTTTTGCTGAAAAAAAATGTGCATTTATTTTTTTCCTGGAAAGCATTGCACTTGTGATTAGGGGTACAATGTAAGACTTCTGCAGACAAGCCCTACAGAGTTGCTATGGGCTATCTGTTGCAAAGTTGCAGGGCTTGTGAATGAACTACAAAGGCGCTCATCAGTGCCATCACAGTTCATTCAGAACTACAAGCCGTCAGTTGTAGTGGCTGATGATAATTGTAGGTTTGCAGGAAATGTTGAAAGAATGATGTGGCCATGTAGGCAGAGCCTCACACAACTGTGTTGTTTTTGAACTGTGACAGCAGATGCAAGGATAGGATTTCCTGTTTGCTGTCACACTGAGGCGGGGATTGGGGGCTTCAGGAGTTGGAACATGTTACATGGTCCACCATAAATATTGGTGGAACATGTAACATATTCCGAAAAGGTGAACGTATCCTTTTAAAACCAGTAGTCAATAAAGGGATCCCCAAGACAAATGCCGTAATTATACTCTTTGTTGTTCACTTAGCATTTGGTAATGGAATGGTCTTTGTATTTTGTAAGCAGTGTAAAACTTTCATCTTAACAACAAGTATTTTATTATTCAAAGGTTTGTCGCAAGCTGTGGATTTACTCCAGATGTGAAGGTTTGGGAGGTTTGCTTTGGTAAGTCAGGGGATTTTCGAGAAGTGTGTCGGGCATTCGAGTTGAAAGGCCACTCTGCTGGTGTATGTGGATTTGCTTTCTCCAATGACTCTAGAAGGTTAGTAGATTTGTAATCTGTGCTATCACTGCATTGTACTTCATTGTGAAATGACTACATCCTAACTGAGCTTTGTGAAGAAACATCCATAGTGTGGGTAACAGGAAGAATGCAACCTAAATAGATAATCATCCCATTTCCATTACATGAAGAATCGGCAGCTGCATAAAGGTTGTATGTTCCAACAAAACTACAATCTAAAACACGCCTAAATAATCATCCAATGAAAATCATACATATTAATCCTTGACAAATTTTGTGAATAAGATGCATCCTCTTTTTAGAATCACCTATGATGTACAAAGGGTGTCCTAAAAATGATAAACATTTGGGGTGAATGGGTGGTGTGTTCTAACAGAACTAGGCTTATTTGTCTCTTTTGTGCTGTATGTTAGTGGTCCAAATTAAGAATGAGCTAAGCCAAGTTTGGCCCGAACCCGCAGGAAAATGTCAGTTAACTGTAGCTATGAAATTCCCCACCCCACAGCCGTACATAACTAGGGTGGAGAGATACTGGAGACATAATTGACCTTTATATGGCTACATGGCTATACAGTGGGGAAAATAAATATTTGATCCCCTGCAGATTTTGTAAATTTGCTCAATTACAAAGAAATGAAGGGTCTATAATTTTTATCATAGGTGTGTTTTTAAATTACAGAGACAGAATATCAACCAAAAATCCAGAAAAAACACATGATACAAATGTTATAAATTGAGTTTCAATTCAGTGAGTAAAATAAGTATATGATCCCCAAGCAAAACATGACTTAGTACTTGGTGGAGAAACCCTTGTTGGCAAGCACAGAGGTAAGCCGTTTCTTATAGGTGGTTACCAGGTTTGCACACATCTCAGGAGGGATTTTGGTCCTCTCTTCTTTACAGATCTTCTCTAAATCCTTAAGGTTTCATGGCTATTGCTTGACAACTCGAAAGTTTCAATTCCCTCCATAAATTTTTTTTTATGGGAGTAAGGTCTGGAGACTGGCTAGGCCACTCCATGACCTTAATGTGCTTCTTCTTGAGCCACTTCTTTGTTGCTTTGGGGGTATGTTTTGGATAATTGTCATGATGAAAGACCCATCTTCAGTGTTCTGGCTGGGGGAAGAAGGTTCTCATCCAAGATTTAACAATACATGGCCCCATCCATTGGCCCATCAATGCACAAAGTCAGCCTGTACCTTTAGCAGAGATACAGCCCCAAAGCATAATGTTTCCACTTCCGTGCTTGGCTGTAAGGATGGAGTTCTCAGAATCACAGTCAGCATTTTTCTTCCTCCAAACACAGTGAGTCGAGTTAATACCATAAAGCTCAATTTTTGCCTTATCTGACCACAGCACGTTCCCTGAATCATTTAGATGTTCATTGGCAAACTTCAGACAGGCCTGTACATGTGCCTTCTTGAGGAGGGGGAACTTACGAGCACTGCAGGATTTCAGTCCATGGTGGCTTATTGTTTTACCAATGGTTTGTTTGGTGACTGTGGTCCCAACTGCCTTGAGATCATTCACAAGCTCCTCCTGTGTAGTTCTGGGCTGATCCATCCCTCACTTTTTTCATGATCATCCTTACCCCATGAGGTGAAATCTTGCATGGAGCTGCAGACACATAACGAGTTGTCATTAAGAGCGCCTTCGTAAATTGACAGGACTAATCTGTGTACCACATGAGCATATAGCCAGTCTGTGGGAGCCAGAATTATTGTTTGTTGATAGGGGATCAAATACTTATTTTACTCACTGAACTGCAACTCCATTTATAACATTTGTATCGTGTTTTTTTTTTTTCTGGAGTTTTGATGGATATTCTGTCTTTATCATTTTAAAGTACACTTGATAAAAATTCTAGACCCTTCATTTCTTTGTAAGTGGGCAAACGTACAAAATCTGCTGGAGATCAAATAATTGTTTCCCCACTGTATTCAGACAATGGCTTTGTCCAATTTGTGGCCATATTAGGTCTACACCCCTTTATGTGCAGCTGCAGGGCAGAGAGTTCCATAGCTCAGCTGATTGGGTTGGGGCCTGCTATCATGTGACAGTTACTTGCAAATTCGGGCTGAACGGAGTTAGGCCTAAACCTTAGCTGATCCTTAGCGTAGATGTACTGTCTAGGTATGATCTATAACCATATTTTTTTTTTTTTTCTTTTTGAGGGGGGGAAAAGGGGAGACAATGCTCACACCATTTTTGTTTTTGCAAAACAATCTTTTTTATGTAACAATCCTTGAACATACTGTATGTACAAGCCCTGATAATGCACAGAATCATTCACTGCTGTTACATTTTATTTGCGTTCCTTGTTCTTTCACACAGCTTACTACCTAAAAATACAAGAAACTTCCTTATGCAACAAAACTATTGTTTACACTTCATAGTCCTAACCTTCTGTATGAAACTAGATAACCTACACCTGTGTACTTGATTAATAAATACATTTTTAAAGCAATGACTAGTTAGAAACAGAAGGATTACTTTGCAATAGTAATGAAAATATTTGGGTAGATTGCATATAGAACAACCTAAGATTTTATTCTGAGCTAAAGGTGTCTGCCATGTGAATAGAAGGAAACCATTTTCCAAAGGAAGAATATAAAGAGCGTTTAGCAAGTTACAAAGAATTACATTTCTGTTTTTAAAGGAGTTGTTATCCAGAGACAAGGTGTCTATAATTTTGCACATAGTCATCATGTTAAGTTTTTTCTTTTTCTGGTAATTATGTAAGTGGTACTAGCACATTTTTATATTTGTTGAAACAAGACAATATTTGTGTATATTCCTGCAGAGGGTGTGTTAATGTATAATTTGAACAAAGGTGTCCAAATTTTTACACTAGACTGTCTTTAAAAAAACAAACAAAAAAACGATCTATCCCCTCTTGTTTAGCGAAGTAATTTTATTATTTATTTACTTTGTTCATTTACAGGATGGCAACTGTATCTAAAGATGGGACATGGAAGCTCTGGAATACAGATGTGGAGTACAAGAAGCAGCAGGACCCCTATTTGTTGTTCACAGGACAGTGGCGTGGGAGAGAGCCTTGCCGCATTGCATTGTCTCCTGATGGCCGTGTTGTTGCCATTGCCAGTGTCTCTGATATCACAGTGTACAGTGCACAGACAGGGCAGATAGAAGAAGAATTCCATTTGGTACATGGAGAGATTATCTCAAACCTTGCTTTTGACACTACCAATAGATTCTTAGTCTCCACTGGAGATCGGGCTATCCGTGTATTCCATAATACAGCTGGATACAGAGCTGCTATTGGTGACATGAAGGAAATGCTAAAGAAAGCCACCAACAAGGGCATGAAGGACAGGCTACAGCAGCAAATTAAAGATGCTCAGAGTGCATTAGATGTTGTGTGCAAACAGGTAAAAAAGTGATAGACTGTTTTTTTACAGCTTTTATACTAAAAGAAATTAAAACCTTTAAATTAAAATATTTCTGTGGAACTTGATAACTTATGCTTTACCTGAGTGTGAATGTGTCTGTCCGTGTGTGTGTCCCCATCCGTGTGTATCCAGTAGCCTCGCGACTAACTTTAAAATTATTATGTACTTTGCCTGTGTAGGGCAAACACAGGTTCGAATTAATTCTGACCTCCCCAGCAGCATGCACTTGCCTTCCATTTGCTGTTCTGCTCATTCATTCAGCCAACAGAGAGAAAGTACTGCCCTGTATAAGTTATGAGTCACTAAGGTCATAGCTAACACAGGATTATGGACTACCCAACCGATGCCATTGCTTAACTCAGCACAGTCACTTGCTCCTCCATACCTGGAAGAATGTTGCTGGGAATGAAGGGATTAAAGCAAACCTTTTTTTTTTTTTTTTTTTTTTTTTTTTTTTTTTTATTGCCCTGAAGTGGCAAAGCAAAGGTTTACCTCAAGAATGTCCTCTCCTTGTATTAGAGCTCATTCACACCAGCCCAGTCCCCTGTGGAGCATTAAACACATGTTTTTTTTAACACCACCTATTAATTTGAGTAGGCAGCATAACTTACTACAACAAACAAAAAATCCTGACATTTGTCCACCACACAGTCAGTCAGACGCCAACTACTACCATGGGCAAGACTAAAGAGCTGTCAAAAGACACCAGAGACAAAATTGTGGACCTCCACAAGGCTGGAAAGGGCTACGGGCAATTGCCAAGCAGCTTGGTGAAAATAGATCAACTGTTGGAGCAATTGTTAGAAAATGGAAGAGGCTAAAGACTATCAGTCTCCCTCGGACTGAGGCTCCATGCAAGATCTCACCTCGTGGGGTATCACTGATAAGAAAGGTGAGGAATCAGCCCAGAACAACAAGGGAGGAGCTGGTCAATGACATGAAGAGAGCTGGGACCACAGTTTCAAAGGTCACCGTCGGTAGAACCCTACGCCGTCATGGTTTCAAATCATGCATTGCACAGAAGGTTCCCCTGCTCAAGTCATCACATGTCCAGGCCCGTCTAAAGTTTGCCAGTGACCATCTGGATGATCCAGAGGAGGCATGGGAGAAAGTCGTGTGGTCAGATGAGACTGAAGTAGAACTATTTGGTCTAAACGTTACCCGTGTGTTTGGAGTAAAAAGGATGAGTTGCATCCCAAGAACACCATCCATGGGGGTGGTAATATCATGCTTTGTGGGTGCTTTTCTGCGAAGCGGACAGGACAACTGCACAGTATTAAGGAGAGGATGAATGGGGCCATTTATTGTGAGATTTTGAGCAACAACCTGCTTCCCTCAGTCAGAGCATTGAAGATGGGTCGTGGCTGGGTCTTCCAACGTGACAACGACCCAAAGCACACAGCCAGGTAACCAAGGAGTGGCTCCGTAAGAAGCATATCAACTGTCACCTTCCCTCCTCACCTTCAGGTGCTCCCTGAAAACCCACCTCTTCAGGGAAGCCTACCCCACCCTCACCTAGCAAGCCGCTGCCCTTCCCTCCTCCTACCACCCCATCCCCCACAGCTGTTTCCTCCTGTGCCTCTACCCCCTCCCTCCTAGATTGTAAGCTCGAAAGAGTAGGGCCCTCTTACCCCTTGTGTACTGTTTGATGTTACTGCTCTGTTTCATGTATTGTCCCCCCCTCTATTGTACAGCACTGAGCAAACCCTTTGGCGCTATATAAACTCGATAAATAAATAATAAATAATAATAGCAAGGTTCTGGAGTGGCCTAGCCAGTCTCCAGACCTAAATCCAATAGAACATCTTTGGAGGGAGCTGAAACTCCGTGTTGCTCAGCGACAGCCCCGAAACCTGATAGATCTAGAGGAGATCTGTGTGGAGGAGTAGGCCAAAATCCCTGTTGCAGTGTGTGCAAACCTGGTCAAGATCTACAGGAAACATTTGACTTCTGTAATTGCAAACAAAGGCTTCTGTACCAAATATTAACACTGATTTTCTCAGGTGTTCAAATACTTTTGTTCAGCAGTGTAAGACAAATTCTTTAAAAATCATACAATGTGATTCCCTGAATTTTTTTTTTTAATTCTGTCTCAGAGTGGGAATGCACCTACAATGTGAATTTCAGACCCCTAGATGACTTCTAAGTGGGAGAACTTGCAAAATTGCAGGGTGTTCAAATACTTCTGTTCCTCACTGTATATGGCTCACCCTAAAGCCCATCCTGCTGAGATATACCTGCACTTCACCTTTTTGTATAATTGCCCCCAATGCTACCTTTTGTGCCCATCTTGGTGACAAATGGGTCTGGCAATACATTCACTTGAGGCAGCAGGAGAAGTTATGATGCACAAAGAAAAATCCTGCTGCACCTGCTTATGAAGACAGCAATCCACCCTGCTCCTGAGCCTGTAGCCATAGAGGTCACAAAGGTGTTGGAGGCTATATCAGTGCACTAGACAACAAAAACAGCTAAAGTAAAACAAACACACATGTAGGGCTATTCAAACCTGACCTATGGGGAATAAAGCTGCATTCGCATGGGCGGCTAGTACAGGCACAAATGACAGTGGTTGCTGCAACCTGTGAGTGGCTAGCTGAGGACTCAGAGCTCTGTGCACTTCAATGACAGGTCAGTGGCAGCTGTGGCTGTCCACCCAGCAAGTGATTACCTGTGGCATATATACACCCAGCCAGTGATTACCTGTGACACATACACACACCTCTAATATCAAGGAGGCTAAAGGTGGTATATTATTGATACATCAAGAATTTCAGAAGCTTTGGGAGAGGGTGATTGAGGAAGAACTCTGCATCAGGCAAGTGGGGGATTAGATAGTCTGATGATGCACTCAGCAGAACACCAAAGCTACCATCAGGATGACCTGGAAGATGGGATGCATCAGAGCAATCTCTGTGGCACTGCCTGAGAAGGCAGAGGGAACAAACCCTACAAGGTTCTAAGACCTGCTTATCTGCACTTTGGCCATGAGCACTTCCATACTACTTTTACAATGGAGCCTGATCACGGCATCTACCCAAGCTGCCCCAGCCAGGAGCTCCTCCATGCACTTTCATTGCACTAAAAGATTGGGACACAATACTCTGATCCAATTGGGAGAAAGGGAAGATCCTTTTAGAAAAGTGTAACTGTATCAGTCTGTCATGACTTCTCTACAGCGGTCCAACATCAGTGATCTCTGATGATGGAGATTAAGAAACAGTATGAAAAACACACCATATAACTTACCCAAATTTAAGTTAAGGATGTTGGCCATAATAACTTCTTTAACTTGCTAGCGGAAGCTTCCCAATAGCTCAGCAGCCCCAGAAATTAACCTGTGCCTTTGTTTAACACCTGTTATAGGTTTTGTGAGTATATTATCTCCTGTGCCCTCTGTTTCTACCCTGGGGGACATTTTGGGACAATAGCTATTCCATTTTTCAGCAGCTTATGGTATTACATAGGTTTAAAAAAAAAAAAGACACATCTAGTTCAACCAATTATAGAATAAATAAATAGGAAACGTCCATAAACACAATCTTGTACCCACAGTTGATCCAGAGGAAGGCCAAAAAAACCTATAAAGCAGGGGTGTACAATCTGTGGCTGAAGATTGCTACGAATGCAACCCATCACAAAATTGTGACTCACTTAACTTTTTTTTTTTTGGGAGGGGGGCAATTTTTTGTAAAAATATGTTTACATTTCGCAAACACATGCAGGCAAAGAAAAATGTGACAGTGTCTCTTTACTGGACTTTTATAAGGTTTATCTTCCCAAAGAAAGATCTCCAACTCTTCATAATCATGCCTTATTATTGTCACCAGTTTTTGGCAGCAGTTATATTTGTGAGCAACTATTTTCAAGGACGAAGAATAAAAAGGGCAAAAGTAGAACCAAAATATCTGATGAGCACCTAGAGAGTTCGTTGAGAATTGCTACTACATCCATCGAGCCAGATATTGGTGCGTTAGTATATCAAAAACTGTCAAACATCACATTCATTTTATGTTTGCCTCTTTAATTTATAATAAAAAATATTATAAAACTGAAGTTTTATTACTCAGATAAGTATATTATCTATATCCGTGACCGTTAACTTGTGATCTGTCTGACTTTTTCTGCTAATCGGAAATTTTTATTAGTTTATTTTATGTGTGGCCCAAGACAATTCCTCTTCTTCCAATGTGGCTCAGGAAACTCAAAAGGTTGGACACCCCTGCTATAAAGCATAGTCCAATTTGCTCCAGTGGGGGAAAAAAATCCTTCCTGATCTCCAGGAGATAATCAAATATTGCTTAGATCAACAGTCTCTGATATTATTACCTATAATTGGCAATATCCAGTTATATTGTACACATTTAGGAATGCATCCATCCCTTTTTTTTTAAAAACAATCTACAAAGCTGGCTAGAACTAGTTCTTGATGGAGTCTTTTCCACATTTTCACAGCTTTTACTGTGGGGAAGCCTTTCTGTATGTGAAGATTAAATCTCTTTTTGTGACTGAGGAGTGGGAGGAAGCTTTGAAGGATCACAAAGTAATCTCTACAAAAATGTTGAATAAATTTACATATATGTCAATTCTCCATAGAACAGATGCCAAAAGGCAAAAGCCAAACAGTGGATGTCTGTGTTACCCCTTACTAGCACAGTGGATAGCTGACATCAATGCCAACATCTCATAAAAGAAATGTCTATATACTCAATTGGCTACGTTTCATAAGATTTTTGGGAGATGGTTTGTCTAGGGCAGGGGTCTGCAACCTTTAAGACATAAAGAGCCACTTGGACCCGTTTCCGAGAGGGAAAAAAAGACTGGGAGCCGCAAAACCATTGCAACATTTAAAACAAATCCGACACTGCATATATTGCAAAAAAAGCTCTGGTCATGAAGGGGGTTTAAGGGCCCAGTAAGCAAAGGGTTAATCAGGGCCACAGTGTATCGTCATAATCACAATCATAGCCTTAGGTCAGTGGTGGGCAACC